ACCCCATGTATGTGAGGCGCTTCTTCCAGTTTACAGACGTTTGTCTGATGAATCGCTTCTTCGGCGATGCCTAAGAGGGAAGACCCAAAATAACAACGAGTGTCTCCACTCAATTATTTGGGCACTGGCGCCGAAGGAGAAACATGCATCATTGTTTGCTGTGCAAGCTGCTGTGGCAGAGGCTGTAATGAAGTTCAATTCTGGGTATGAAAAAGCTTCTACAGCCATACTTCAAGAACTTCAGCTAAACCCTGGCCAACAGTTGACCAAGCGCATGAGTGAAAAAGATCGCCACCGTGCTGAAGCATGCGCACGCAAGCATGCTTCTGCAGAAAACTTGCAGCGTGTGCTACGAAAACAACACCGAAATGACTCTAAACAGACAGACTATGTTCCTGGAGGGTACTGATGCTAGGCCATTTGTGAACATTGTAAATAGTTTGTGATTTTCTGTATTAAATATGAGCCTATTTTGTTTTTTGACGTTTTCTCAGAATGTCATTTTCGATGTTTTTGAAACTTGCCAAAGCGATATCTTGGTCTTGAGGTCACATAGAGCCACAATTCTTGTGGTGGCATGTAGCTACATATGTCTCCTACACAAATGTAGGAACAGATTTTTCAATCTAGTCTTTCTAAATTTTTATTCTTGGTACTAATTTAATCGCTTGATAGAGATATCTGGAGATTAAACTTCAAATTGCTATAAAATTGGTAATACTTGTAATATTAAAAAAGTAATCCTACATTTGTGTTAATTACACTTCATAGTATCTAGCCATATGTCAATATTAATATTCTGGCCAATAATTGCCTTTCCATTGTTCTGATAAACAATATAGGATTAATTTTAATTATCTCTGCAACTGGCCAACCAATTTCAAAAGCAATTATATTTTTGAAATCAGCTTGAAAAACTCTGTCTGGGTTACAATTTTCATTGAATTTGGTCAAGAAATATAAAAAAAAAATTTAAAACCCTCTTCCCCCCTTAAGGTCCATTGACGAGAAGTAGCGTGCATGCCGTAGCCTGTCCAAAGAGTCATCGATCCGTGGTAATGGATAAACGTCTTTTTTTGTAACATGGTTCAGCTTACGATAATCGATGCAGAAACGCAAGCTGCCGTCTTTCTTTTTCACGAGTACCACTGGCGATGCCCAAGGACTTTTTGATGGTTGGATAACGTCATCCTCTAGCATCTTCTTGACTTGCTGCTGGATTACCTCACGTTCTTTCTGAGCGACGCGATAAGGGTTCTGTCGGATCGGTCTTGCTGTGTCTTCCGTAATTATACGATGCTTAGTCAGAGGCGTTCGACCCACTCGTGATGTCGATGAGAAGCAGTCCTTGAACTGGTCGAGCAGCTCCATAAGACGGCATCTTTCAGTCGGTGTTAGACTCGGACCGATATCAACTGGTGGTGTATGTGGAGGTGATTGAGCTGTGGGTTCCCCTTGCATTAGAAGACAGTCGTGAGAGTAGTCCAGCTCTTCGAGGTACGCCACAGCCGTGCCTTTACCGATGTGCCGGCGCTCATTCGTGAAGTTGGTCAGAAGCACGTCTGCGCGCCCATCCACTAAGCTGACAATACCGCGAGCGATGGCGATGCCTTGGTGAAAAAGAAGGTCAGTGATGCGTTCGACTATGGCGTCTTCATTACAGTGCACGGCGCAACACACGGAAACAAGACTACATGACAGTGGTGGCACGCAGACGTCGTCGTCGACCACACGTAACACCCTGGGTTCTTGGTCTGGATCGGTGGTCACAGACTTGTCAGTGGCGAATGTGATCACACCGTCGCGTATGTTGACCACAGCACCGTACTCTCTTAAGAAGTCCATTCCCAGAATCATAGGTTTGCAGCACTCCGGTAGGATCAGAAATGTGGCTACAAAAGCCACATTCTCAATAGTGAGTCTTGCTGTACATTTTCCCGTGGGAGTCATTATCTGGCCTGCAGCACTTCGGATATAAGGGCCCGTCCATTCCATCCTGACTTTCTTGAGTTCATCTGCCAATCGTTCACTCATTATGGAGAAGTCTGCACCCGTATCGACTAAGGCCGTCACTTCAACGCCGTCAATCGTCACAGCAAGGTCGGCAGTCACAGTTTTTTCGGCGAAGTCTTCATCGTCGTCTCTCACGTGTTTTGGCAGCAGTGGGGGTTTTTCGGCAATTCGACGGCTTGCAACCTTCCCCCCAGAGGTCGCTGCTTTCAGTTTCCCCGCCGTGGGCTGGGAGACCGACCTCTGACGGCGTCAGCAAAACTACGGCGGCTTGGTGAACCAAAGCGAGCCGGTGATGGTGACCGCGTCCGGAAGGTAGAAGAGCCTTCCCGCCTGCCAGCCTGGTCGTCGTCGATGGGGGCACGGCTTTCGTCGAACTGTCGGCGCGTAGCTGTAGGTGCACTACCGCGGTATTCAGCTCGGCGATGTGGGCAAAAACGGCAAATGTGCCCTGGCTCTCCACAGTTGTAGCAGAGTGGTCGACGATCCGCAGTGCGCCATATGTCGGTCTTCCGCATATAGGGTCGCCTGACAGAATCCTGCTGAGCCCAGGCTGCCACAAGATACGGTTCGAGATACTGCGGCGCTGGCATGGGCATGGGTCGACGAATAGCGTCTGCATAGCTGTATCCGTTCGGCTGGTACGATACTTCTGGAGCCAATGGACGACGCACAGCATCTGCATAGGTATACGAGTTTGGACGGTGCGGTGGAGCGGAATATTGCTGAGGAGAGGCAAACGCTTGTCGAAGTTCATGGCGAACTATTTCGGCGAAGGAGGCTATCGTGGACTCCTGCTGCGGGGGCGCCTGTGACTGCAATGTGTATTTTGCGTTCTCCTTCGCGATCTCCTCACGCACGATCTGTCTAATCAGGTGGCGTAGAGCAAACTCGTCGTTTGCGGTAAGTGCGGCGGCGCCTGCAGCTGCGCCGGTGGCCGGGCGATCAGACTGTCGGTACCGTTGTTGTAGCGCACGCTCTATTGCGGTGGCCTCCCTGGTGAACTCGTCCACTGTTGTCGGCGGATTGCGCACAAGACCAACAAATAGCTGCTCTTTGACGCCCCTCATGAGATGGGTTAGCTTTCGAGCCTCGGGCATGTTGGGGTCCGCGCGGTGGCACAGGCGCACCATATCCTCAGCAAACATGGCGACGCTTTCATGCAGCTGTTGGGTGCGTCCTTCAAGAAGGCGTTGTGCGTTTTCGCGTCGGTCCGCGTTACCGAAGGTGTCAAGAAACCGACGACAAAACTCCTCCCATGTCGTCAATGTTGCCTCCCGGTTTATAAACCATGTCTTCGCGCCGTCTTCAAGGGCGAAGTATACGTGGAAGAGCTTTCCATCGAGACTCCAGTAGTTCGATTTAGCTACCCGTTCGAACTGCTCAAGCCAGTCTTGTGCATCTTCGTTCGGCCGGCCATGAAATGGTTCAGGAATGCGCATATTCTGGACCGTCACCTGTGCAGGACTCCTTGCCATTTCTTGAGTAGGGGTGGTTGTCGGAAGTGTTGCTCCCTTTAAAAGGCCAAATTCTGGTTCAAGACCTTGAAGGCGACGGCTTGAGCGGTGCACAGGCGTCTCCACGCGCGGCTGTCTCGTAGGGCTGGACTCGGGGCTTCTCACAGGGGTGCTGATCATGAGGTGGTAGTACCCAGCTCCTCCACCAGTGTCGCGGGTTATAAATGACAGGGGGTTTATTTAAAAACACGGACAGTAGGACTTGTAGAGACGCTCTCAGAGAAGGCCGCTAAGATTGTCGTCTTCTTCAGTCTGCTGCGCTGCGCCTCTCGAGCAAATCCGCGTTCTTCGTTGTCGTCGCTATCTCGCCGCTAAATGCAGCTATGCACGCGGCAATATATTTTTATAATAAAAAATGTCACTCAAATGCTAAAGAGAGCTGAAAAAAAATCAAATAATTTTGTACAGCAAAAGTACACACAACTATGAACGAAGCACATTCATTATTTAACATAGTCTTCGAGGTAGTTTCCATTTGGTTGAGTGCGCATATGCCATTGCATGATTAATGTTACTTTGTTGATTGCCCCAACGTATGTTTGACTTCAACACTCCTCTAAGTCATCGACAAGCCCGCTATTGGGGATTGTGACGATCACTAAAATAATTATATTTGTTAGGAAATTGTAAATAAGCCTAAAAAATGTGACAAGAAACTAGAAAATTTAACAAGTGACTCAGTGATAAAATAAGCCCAAATCCGCTTATTATAACCAGAACTGGCAACTCTATAACAATTCTGCCTTAGCAGATACATGTCTAACACCTGTCCCTTGAAGAGGTCTAAACGTGCGAAATAAAACTAGGTATCGCATAGGTGCTTGTCTCATCTCTCTTATCTAGGTTTTGCTGCTCCAGTCTCAAAGATATGCAGAAACTTGAAACATTTGCTGAAGTACGGTTTATACGGTAGATGGGTATATTTGTATTATTGACCATTTTAATGCACCCTCCCTTATGCATAGTTCAATAAGCATTATTTCAATTTTGCTAGCCAAGTTTTTTGCTGTGCTATGTCAGGGTGAATTTATGTCAGACTAGTGCTCGTATGGTACTATCACATGTTCTCTGTAAATGCTCAAGCCTTTGTAAGATACATGAAGCTTGGCTACAACTTGATAGTTTAGCACACATCAACTAATTTTTAAAATCTTATTGCTGACAGAAAATTGGACATGTCTGCCACTTTGTACATCTCGATCTCATTGATGGCACTGTTTGCGATGCCATTTAACACCCCATCTACGTTACCAATAATGTGCCTGGATTTCTGTGGTTTGAGTATTTACGTTGGATTGTGCATGGTCGTTTCCATTTTTTTTTGCTGCTTTATCTCTTGTTTTTTTGTTTTGCTTGGTGCATGCTCTGTGTGTATGTATTGTTGCTGACTTACCATTTTAACCATTCCAGCATTGCTGATTTTTTTTAGTATGAACATATACCGAAGTTTCTCGTTTGTTTGCAATTTTCTAGGTTTTCAGTGCTATGAACATTACAGCCTACGACTTGAGTGTCGACATGCTCGACGTTCATGCGGTGAGTTTGCTTGATCATCGGATAGCAAAATAATGATTATAAAGGTTTATTGGTTCATCAAAATCGCATGCTGTGTTCTCTGAAGCTTACTAAATTAGCGTTAACATTAAAATATTTGCAAATTGTCAACCATTAAAGGGGCCCTGCAACACTTCTTGAGCGTGGTCAGAAAACACTGCTGATCGGTAGTAGAGGCTGTTGACAACACATGAGCCAAATATTATAGCACAGCACATGGCCTGGAATTCACAATAAATTATCAAAGTCAGCTAAAAATTGCTTGCTTTTCTCTTGACAAATCATGTTATATGCTCAAAAATCACACGTCAACGACCCATCCATCAGCCATAGGCTGATTTTAACATGGCGTGCTCGCTCGTTACAGAGATCGCAGCGGGAGGCTGCTACTTGTCCACACGTGCGCGTGCAATCACACTGAAAAAGCCGCACATTCGAAGAAAAAAAAGAAAAAAAGTGCTCAAGGTCGCGAAGGGCACGTGACGTTTTTCTGGGAAGCTGCCATTCCTCCCTGCTTAGCTGCCAGCCCTTTCGTCAGGATGAGAGAAGAGAGAATGCAATTGCAGCATGCGACAAACCTTTGTAACTCCACTCGCACTGGACGGATTCTTAAAATTTTTTCGGCCTTGAATTCATGAGGCAATAAGCTCTTCCAGTGTATTCATTCCATGGTTACTTGAAAAAGTGTTTCAGGGCCCCTTCAAAGATCAATTTTTGAGGCTGTTGTGCATAGATGTGCCATGTTTTCTTTATACCTAAACATAAGGGAGGGTGATTTAAATCACCTAACTACATCAGCAGAAATGCGTTGAAAAGACGATTGTTTTATTATGAACAATTTTTGTACACTAGTATCATTTAATGGAGCACATGAGGTTTTAGGAACATTTCTCTCTCTCTCCTTTCTGTGCCCAGGACCGAAACACGTTTCATCGCTTCGACAAGTTCAACACCAAGTACAACCCTGTTGGTGAAAGCAGGCTGCGAGAAATATTCCTCAAGACGGACAACTACATCGGGGGACAGTACTTTGCAGAAATTCTGAAGGTTTGTAAGCGTAGTCTTGCATAAACATATGAAATATTTCAATTAAGAAAGAACAAGCACAGCTTTCTAGATGAAATTATACGAATAGTTAATTAGCACGGGCCACTTGTGGTCGTGTACGAGATGCCTGGTGATTCGCAAGTAAATTACTAGGAATGCTTCTTAGTGATATTTTTTCTTACATGCAGCCTTATTTGAAAAATGTTGAAACAAACTCTTACGTTGCCATCACATTTTATGATGACAAACACTGTTACAAAAAAGTCACATTTGATAAGAAACAAATTTTTAGATCTAATATTTTACTATAGTTATGTGGTATCTGCAGTGTACCTTTGTAGGCAACAAATAATTTAAATATACATTATCTCAGCATTTACTTAATGCACAATATGAACTGTATCTCATGTTATGCCAGTATTTAGAGAGTGATGCAATAGTCACAAGGGGCTTTCTTTTATCACTTGGGTATCTACCGGATCCTTTTAGGTGGGAATAAAAAATAATCTTTAGATCATGTTTGCATCATATGTGTTAGGCAGCATAAAATATAAAAGCCAGGAAAGGAGGTTAGCAGTAATATGTTCATAATATATATCACATTGGCAGTTCAAGGCACTAACAACCTTCACCTTCAAGTTTTCACTTTTAGTGATGATGTTATTGGTGATGTACTGTGTTATTATCAAGCGTACAGGCAGGTCCTCAAATAAAGTCTTGCCTGGCTGCTCCTCAGGTTCTGCTGAATGTCCATTTACTAAAGCACGAAAGCCTGTGAGAAACTCTTATGTAATGTTGGGCCATATTCACTTCATACCCGTCACAAAGAAATAAAGGGAAAAGAAGCAATAAATATGAAAAAGTTGATATTTCATTAAAGTAATGACATTTGCATTATCTCCAGAAAGGGAAGAATGTAGAGACGTCATCACTGTTATTTTGTGGCAGTTCAACGCTTTCTTCTCTGAATTTCGAACAAAACTACAGCTGCACAAAGCAAAGGCTTTTGTGTTTGTAAGAATAGCTTCGATTGAGTCCCTCATTGTGCAGTCATGTGATGTTAAGCACCTTTCGGAATTCCAGGAAGTGATGAGCGACCTGGAAGAGAGCAAATACCAGAACGCAGAGCTGCGGCTATCCATCTATGGCCGATCACGCAACGAGTGGGATAAACTGGCCAAGTGGGCCGTCCGGAACACCATGTACTCGGACAATGTCCGCTGGCTTGTCCAAGTGCCTCGACTCTAGTGAGTGACGGGGCATGCGCTTTTACCACATTAAGAAGGCTACACGACCCGTTTCTGTGCAAATGTGGTAAAATTAGCTTTAAAATGGCTCTGTAGCCTGTAAGCTTTATTATCTCTCGTTATCTTGGTTTGAAATAATTGGCACATATACATTCATTACAAAGTGAATCAGTCTAGCCAGCGATTCATTTGGCATAGTTCCATCACAGTATCATTTTTAGATATAAATTATGTCCGATCAGGAACGAGGTTTCAAGCATTGTGCATTCTGGCCAAGATATTTAGACCAATGAGGTTCCAAGCGTGTAGCAATGGTAGGAAATGTTGCTTAATGTAGTAAATGTTGGAATTTTCTGACGTGAGCAAGGACCAATCATTGTGATGATTGTAATGCTTGGTCCCTGCTTCTAGTACAAATATTGAATATGAACACGTTTTGTCGCCTAGAACAGTAGTTCTCAGGCATGGATGTTTCGGAGACCCTTTGTGGACTGGTGCGAATGATGAAAAAACTGTTACACTGAAAGATACAGCTTGAAATCGGTGTTCTTTTATCGTTCCTACAAAGACTAGTCAAATAAAAGTGCCACACCAATTCAATCTCAACAACTTGTCAATAAGTTGTGCGATCTACAGCCACATTCAACCATTTTCTAGCTGCGTTTGCTGTTCAAATATGGAAGCCTACAAAAAGTAGGCTGGCATGCGTGTGTTGTAGAAAACTGTGACAAAAGCTTTAAAACAATCTCATGGACAAGGAAAAGCAGAAGTAAACTCTACCACAATAAAACAAGCTATTATGCAATGAAGCATACTAAGAATCTGAAGGGGCTGTTGTAATGAGACATAGTGAACTCTTTTTTTTGTGTGTGTGTCGGAGGTGGATTCTGTAGACTCTCATTTGAGAACCAATGGCTTTAATAGTAGATATGAGTTGGAGTGCAGCTCTGCAAACATATGTGCAGTTATTTTATGTGGTAAGTTGGTTAGTTCCGGCGCTAAGTGTACGGGCACACCAACTGAAAGACGTTGCGTGTTTATGGGGAGGTTATTCCTTTTTGTCCACAATTTTACTCATTCGTGTATGTGAGCCCTAATATTTGCCTCCACCTTTAGTGATGTGTTCAAGTCCAACAACCTTGTGAATAACTTTGAAGAAATTCTGGAGAACATCTTCCTGCCCCTCTTTGAGGCCACCAACGATCCCAGCTCTCACCCTGAGCTGCACCAGTTTCTTCAATACGTGAGTTTTCTAGACATCATCAAGCACAAGTTCGTTCTGGAAACTGCAGTTTGTTTTGTTATTATTCCCACATTGGAGCCCGTTCATTGTGCCGTTGGTACTTGTAGCATAGAATAAACCAGCGGTCACTGGGCATTCATTATTGTGAAATTGCAAAATGCAGCTGAAGCCTTTTATACTACCATATAAACCAGAACATAGATAACTTTTTTTTTTTCAATGATTTGCTTTCAAAATATTTATATTGTGGTGTTTAAAATAAAATCGCTTGCCTGTGCACTATTAGCCATTAAAAAAACCAATGGAGAAAAGGGCCCCATTTTTTTATTATGCTATATTGTTTAACACCATTTATTTCAAGCAGTGTATAGGATTGAAGCTTTGCTGCCTTTTGCAAAAACTTGGCCACCGTACTTATAGAGTCAAATGATTTTTTTTTCTATTGGCCATTGTCTAATTTCAAATAAACTTGCACATAAGTGCTTCAGTGGTCAGATAAAGACACAGGGTAGGGTAAATTTTTTAATTCATTTTTTTTGTTTGGAGTAATGCATGTAAAACCTTCCTTAACAATATGAAGGGCCTCAAACATCCTTGCGCTCCTTGAGCCATAAACACCAGGTTCTTAAGACCAAATGGCAAGCAGTCAAGCGGCTTCTTCTCAGGCGATGCATAACCAGAGCTTTCTGCCTCAACTGAATTTTTTAAAAAATCATAACTGGTAGTTTTTCTGAGCCTAGCTGATTTCTGAGGTCATACCGTTTTGGCTTTAAAAGCACTTGGCACAGTTTTTTTGAACATGCGTGGCATTTACCAAATCCACTTGCCTTGTGCGTCTGAGGTTTTGCCTTCGTTGCACCTTTGTTGATTGTCTTGCAATGGCAAAATATATTCTCATGTTGATAAATCAAGGAAACTGTTTAGAAAGCACAGTATCATTTTAAATCTCCACGCTTCAGCTATGGCAAAAAGTGGGACCGGAAGCACTCGGGCAATTACACACCACTGCAAGAACAAAGCCTTACTTGTAATGACAATGGCTGAGCTTTGATTTATGTGTCATTACAAGTAAATGTGTCTGCACAGAGTGCGAAGGGACTATAGCACTCGCAGAGAACACAATAAATTGTGTTCTTCAGAATGAAAACCCTCACAATGGCTATTTTTGAAACCATCTAACTTTCAAAAACGCCTGCATGGCCATGGCTCTAGCAAACATTCTCAAGGTCGCGCGTCATATTAACGAGCCACAACAGGGTTATATGTTTGGCTGAGATCAACCGTATTTTACAGTATTTGGTGATTAGAGAAGCAGGAGATATGACAAAATAAGCCATGGAACCAAGAAAACAAGAAAAGAAGAGAAAAGCTGATACGTGTGATGACTATATGGCACGTCGCTAACAATTGAATTGTCCAGTGCATCTTATTTTTGAACAAAATGTGAAATATACTTTTTTCTTCTTTAACTCTCAGTATCTCACAATCAATTTTTGTTACACTTGCCTCATCATGTAAACAACTTGAATAAGGGAGGTTGTTTTTTTTTTTTGCAAAAGTAAACCAAACATCAATACGATTTCACTGAATAAGGATAGTTTTCACTGTACTAAAATAGTTTTCATTTCTTTTAGCAGATTTTTTATAAGAATTATTGACAAATAATGCTTGCTTTGCTTAAAAAACTGCAGAAGTGTCAAAAGCTTGAAATACAATAGTGGTTCTAGTAAGGCATGAAAAGAAGCATGTAGTTTCGTTGAAGAGTCTTATTTTTCTATTAAGTATATTGGCTTATCACATTTAAATTAATCTTGACTACCTGTAGTTTTATTGTGTGAGTAGTCAAAACTGGTGTTAAGGTGATCTCCTGTTCTCATAATTCTTTTTTTTTTTACATTCTGGCAGTAGCAAAATATACTGCACATTTCTTTCAGGAGATTAGATGCAAGAAAAATGAGCAAGAACTTTAAACAAGGACAAAGGAGGAGACGCACTCACTCACACCTAGTGTTTTTGGTTTTTGCTGGTTTTGCTTGCATCTAAACACTAATCAAGCAGCTTTGTACGACACCTCTCAGATTATTTTCATTCTAATTTTGGTGAGAGAAGCTGCACCCTGTTGTCTGAACACCCACCATTGTGTCTGCACTGAATGATCCCCAATCATAGCTTCTGCTACTCTTTCATTAGATTGTGGGCTTTGATTCTGTGGACGACGAATCTAAGCCTGAGTACCCCATGATTGACAAGGACGTGCCGCTGCCAAAGCAGTACACCGACACGGAAAACCCGGCGTACAACTACTACCTGTACTATATGTACGCCAACATGTGTGTCCTCAACCACTTCAGAAAGTAAGCGTGGCAGTTCCTGTTTGGTCAGTAAAGTGCTTTGTTTTCGCGAGTGCCATTTGACGCTCAGACACCGGCCATAAAGTCTTTGCACACATATAGTGCTTCTGCCTAAAATGAATGGCAGGATGCCATGTACATTCCTTAATGGTTCCAAGTATGCTAAAAAGAAACACTATAGAAGTGAAGGCAGCACATGCTGTCTTCTCTCGTTCTATTGTCCTTGTTTTAGCACAGCTAGTCCCGTATTCAGAAACGCTTCTTGGCTTTACCTTGACTTGAAACCGCCTTCAATGCAGTGCGCTTAAAATGCGTCTGTGCATTTGTGTTACCTTGGCAGCCTTGGCACTGCCTAAAAACAGCATGTTCGAAATTTGTTTGTGCTGCATTTAAGTCAGTGGCAAGTCAAGTTCAAGTCAAGGAGCGTTTCTGAATGTGGGGGTTAAAACCATTAAGGAATAGATGTTAACTAACTAGCACAACTTCATGGTCTTTTGCGAAAAGTCATTTGCAATTTCATCCAGCTTAAGCTAATGCAAACGAACATGTTGTGATAAGCTTTTGCTCCATGTTGGCTAAAAAATGAAAAAAGCTTGTGAATAACAACTCTGAAGCCAGTGCTGGTGCTTTTTGCATGTTTGTTGATTGTATTCTTTTTCTAACTATGAAATCACTTTGCGAATGTTCTCAGTTCGACCAACGCATTGTGGCAGCTTTTTTTATAAAAATCTGCAAAGAGAAATAAATAAAAATATACTGAACTAAAATTGATGGACGTGCTTCTGGCATGTATTTCAGTATTATTTCTTAGCCTTCCAACAATAGAATGATTACTATGACATGCATGCATTGCCAACAGTGATCAATGGCCAAGCTGTTCACAGGAGCTCAAGTCATGGTGGACATGGTACAAATGCACCGGTTGGCAGAATTGTTGCAAAGTTCTCAGAATCATACTCAGGGCACATATTCAGCCCACCATTAAAAAAGATGTTGCCTTTTTTCGCTCTTCTCAACCTGTCCAGGTTGCGCGGCTTGAATCTCTTTGTACTGCGGCCACACTGCGGAGAGGCGGGTCCCGTGCAGCATCTTGTGGGGGGCTACCTGCTCTCAGAGAACATCAACCACGGGCTTCTTCTAAGGAAGGTGGGGAACAGAATAATCTGTGTTGTGATTTGTTTAAACAAATATATTCAGGCATTAAGCTAACATCTGCACTTGTGACTGGCTGCTTACCGTCAAAATTATTTTCCTGATGCTTTTCAGTGACAGCTTCCTGTCAGCTTTTTCTTGAGTCACGTTGATTCCCAGTCATTGTCAAAGGTTTATGAATCCGTCGTAGGAGCTTGAAAAAAACCTGTATGTTTCTGTAGCCTGAACGTAGACTTACATGTATTTACTTTTTCATCCCACACTAGTTTGTGCTAATCTTGCAGTAATATGCAGTTTTACTGGCTACGTTCTCAAACTGCACAAAAAATTAATATTTTCTCATGTTGCATTTTTTATAAACTTTTCATGCTAATTGTACAATGTTGTGAAAGCAGCCTGGGTTAGCTGAAAACTGGAAACAAGCAAAACAATGCTTCCTTAGTTCAGGATTTGATCTCGGATTCTCTGCATGACAGCAGGCTTCAGAAGCAAAGAACTAGGGTGGATTCTTCCAAAGCACATAGGGGACAGTGCTGCTGCTGTTGTCACTCTCCAAGTTTTCTAAATGCACAAAATATGTGTAAAGAAAAGCTAGAGAATTCCAACCTTCTTTCAATGATTCTCATGGATGCATGATTGAAGGTTTCTTGCGTGTGGCCTAGACTGTCCATGCATATTTTGTTTTATCGTGTGTCCAATCTCTTCATGTACATAGGACAAGTAAGCACAAGTGACTAAATGTGAGAAGAAGAGCATTTAGGCTATTCAGAATTGCAATCCAGCATAAACTAAGAAAGAAACACGCATGCAGACCTGTTCAAAGCACAAAGTTAAGGAGCGACTCGTAAAACACGCATATGATTGTAAGGGAATTGGCATATCCTTTCCCAGCATCTAAAGTGAATGTGCCTCTTCTCTCTGTTTTCAAGCACTGTTTCAGATTTTCTTTAGGATAGCATTAAGTGTGTGTCATCTTTTTTATGTGCTCCTTGCTGGTAGTGCATAGGAGCCGGGAAAAGTCTTATCACAACTGATTCTCATTTTTGTCCACCTCATGTGATATGCAGGTGCCAGTTCTGCAGTACCTGTACTACCTGGCACAGATTGGCATTGCCATGTCACCACTGAGCAACAACTCGCTCTTCCTCAACTACCACCGCAACCCGCTACCAGAGTACCTCAGCAGAGGCCTGTGCGTCTCTCTGTCGACTGACGATCCTCTGCAGTTTCACTTCACCAAGGTGCTCCTCCACTCTCTGCTTGACTAGGCCGGTGATGATACACAGTCTAACAGTGATATGAAGTAGTGTCTTTGCAAAGAAAGTCGCCTGACACGCGTTACTTTCATCCTGCAAACTACAGAGTTCAGACCCATGGGTCTTCTCTTGTGCTCTAATGTCTCCCTGGCGACAATAGAACCGAGTTGGCTGTTCGTAGTACTTCTCTATTTAAATATTAATATTTGACTGAAGCCTAGCCTTAGATGTGCTTGCTGCTACTGTTTCTGTTTTACTGATACTTGCTGTACCTGCTCAGTCCGGTTAAAATTAAAAACCTCTAAGCACAATTTGACTTCAAGAAGTAAAGCGGCCTGGCCGATTAGGCAAATCTGTTGTTGTTGCCACATTCAAAAAGAGTGGCCCTATTGTTTTCAGAATTTTCTGAATCACGTCAACTAGCTTTGCTTACAAGTGTTCATAGGGCTTAAATTTCTCTCCTAAATATACAAACATCGCTACTCACCAGTCTGACAGCTGTCTGAGAAGAACATTTATACATTTCACATGTTATGTTTGTAGAGCAGATGACCCTTTATGTCCCAAGTGCAGTTGTTCATTCATATTGCTAGTCACACACACACACACTTATACAGCTTGATGGTCATCGAAATCTTGTGCCCAGGAACCCCTCATGGAGGAGTACAGCATCGCTGCCCAGGTGTGGAAACTGAGCAGCTGTGACATGTGTGAGCTGGCACGTAACAGTATCGTTATGAGTGGCTTCCCTCACAAGGTTGGTCTGCAAGCTGCACGCTGACTTTCATTAGCGAAGGCCCAGTGAGACATACTGGTCGTGTTCAAATATGAAAATTCTCTCCAAATAGCAGAGTTGTGGTTTTTTTCCCGAGGTAAACCTTGCTGATGGCCCCTATCTGATTTTTTTAACTGAAGTGTGCAGACTCTGTTTGCTGAAAATTTGCTTTTTCTACATTCGCTAAAACTTTTAGCATTGGATGCAGCAGCTTTTTGGTCATCACGAGAACATACTTCTTTGAACATGTCTCATTATTCAGTTAGAATCAGCTCGTAACTAGTGGCTGCATCCTTGAACTCATTACTTTCGCTATTTCAGTAACAGTACTATGATCACACGCACCAAGAGATGTGTACTACTTGCAAACACATAGCCATCTCAGTCGTTCACCTTGTTATAGTTTTTTTACAGCTCAAAGTTATCTGCATTACATTTCATACTGGAATGCAGAAATCCTAGTGGCACCTCTATGAAGCATATCTAGAGACAGAATATCTGCATAGAGTTTAATTAGTACAGGATGTATGGATGGTGTTAACCTTTTGCATCTCTTCAGATGCAGTAATAATCAATAGCTGACCTATGTGCTCTGCAGTAATAACCAATAGCTGAGGCAAATGAGCACATGCATCAGCAGAATCTCACCGCTGTTGTGAAATTACTATAGAGCGCAGTTTAATTTCAGTAGCATGCACATTACGAGCTTCAGTGTTGAAGTGTATCTTCTTAAGTACTCTAGCTTTTTGATGGTGTCTGCAGATTTAGCTTGTCCTGGCAATGAAGATATGGTTTGGGAATTGTACTGCAGCTCGTTACTTCGAAATATTGGCCGTTCAATCACACTTGCAACTTAAGGGTGTCCCTGTAGCAAGCTAGTGCAGGCTGCAAGAATTCGACCAAGAGAACATGACGATGACCATGCACCAAGCACGAGATGCTAGGGCCTGTTCTTGTTTGCATCCACATAAAATGGTCTTGGATGAAATGTATAATTAGTGGCCTCATAACACCGACGCCTGTCCACTTGTTTCCACAGTACTTCTTTAAATATTGAACTTAATACTAAGCTTTGTGCGTAAAGAGTCTATCTCCCAATACTTATATTTTACTGCGTATTTTGCACTTCGAACCAATCTGCTAGCACAAATCTATCACTCCGTGTCCCAATATGTATGCAGCATGTCCTAAACATCAAAAAGTGCTTGTAATTCTAAAGTGTTCACCTTGGTATCTACACGCTACTCCATTCGATCGGGGGATGTATCACAATGCAAAACACCTGTTGAAATGCAAATAAATCATTTCACATACGTACTTTTACCAATGTCTCTGAACATATACTAAAACCTACTATAACGAAGTTGCATCTTACATGAAAATAAGTTCATTATAACCGATAAATTGTTGTAAAGGTATAGTCGTAACACTATATCTATTGCAAAACTGTTATTCATTTACTTCGTTATAACCAATATTTCGTTATATCCGGATTTGTTATATTGGAACTTGAGTGTAAAACTTGAGAGACCTTTTAAGCATGCTCGTTTGTACATATTTATGAGAATACACAGCGCTTAAGGGGAGATGCGGGTCGAAAAGCGCGAGTTTTTTTTTTTCAAAACTACCGATTTTTTATTTTTGCGCCTGTTTTGATAAGACTAGTACCTCTACTGTTATGAAAAGAATGATACAGGTCGATACTTAACTGGAAATGCTTTGAAATTACATCTAAAGAGCACAAGGTGCCTGTGAAAAGGTCGAAATTGTGTAGTCTTCGAGCACCTTGCCCCCGATATTGCGCCGCCGCTCGCCATTGTTGATCGCATGAGTCGAAGAGTCGAGCCCCACTCTTCAAATGCCAACAGTTTCTCTCGCTGATGCAGCGCAAGAAATATTAAGAAGAAGCACTTTTCTGTGCGTTTTTCGAGCGCCGCGACTGGCTTATCATATGGTACGAATCGGGGACCGCCATTGGCCACTGCGCGCCTATACGTGCTCTGAAAACTATTTGCGGGGTCCATGTCTTGTCGAGCAGCACAGCTGAACAATGCTTTTCTTGTTTAATTATCTCCGTTATGAATGAAAAAAAGCATTGCTCGCAAGTGAAAACCCCTGTGCGGCACGCTCAGTAGGAATAGGCTACGACCAGCTCGTCCGATTTGCGGCAGTTGTTGGCTTACAAAAACCAATGCATCAAAAGTCATTTACACCCGTCAGCCGGAAAGTTCGTGATGCGGCAATGGATGACGTCAGCACCAATCTTGAGAGGTCGAAAGAGCTCGCAGTGAGAGAACTTAGCAGGGACGACATTGCCATTATGTATGACGGTATGTGGCACAAGCATGGCTGCAAAATGGCATGACACTGGACTTAGTTTAGATTTCACAGTTCTGTCGAACTTCCTAGCTTGCAGTTGGCACAAGGCTCTCCTAGATGGAGTAGAAGTTCGGCAAGCGTTTCATGGCCCTGTCTGTGAGCGAAATGTCTGTGAGGAGTCTGCTCGAAAAAGGCGTGAGGGACAAACTCATGGTGCTGGCGTATTTTAGTCGCAGTGGCCACTACAGGAAGAATTGTTCTTTTTGGTGTGCAAATTTCATCTGATTTAATGATATCTTTCATAAATAAAAACTCAATTTTAACTTTAAAACTCGTTTTTCTCAAAACACAAATTTTGCCATTTTTTCCAATGTGCCCCTCTTTTTTTGGGCACTTCTAGTGCTCAATCTGCATTGAATTTCGCCCAAGCTTTTTACAGAGTATGACAAATGCAATTATCTAGTTTCAATTTCAATATTTTATTGTATAATTAAAAAAAATGTATGTATACCTTTACTAGGGTAGGTGAAATATGGACTTTTTACTTCTATTATTTTTCACACGTATAACATATTTTGTATTATTTTTCACACGTATAACATATTTTGTATGTGCTTTCTAATTAAGTATTTGCACTCTACACTTTATTTGAAGCATTAAGAGCTATGAACGACAAAAAATTGCAGAAGTAGGGATGAAAAGAGGGGCGCAAAAGGGTTAAGGTTTTCAGTTTGTCATGTTACAGAGCTAAAAGTGTGTAACTTGCGAGAAAAGTAATTATATATTTGAAATCAGCATAAAAAGTTTTATAAACAGCTCGAGTTTCATTGCTCTAAGGTTAATATTAGAAAAAAAGTGTCTTCGAGTAGCATCTCCCCTTAAGGTCTACAAAAACATGAGACATGAACAGCGCACATCTGCGTTCTTGTCTCATGTGTTCTTGTGTATTTTAAGCGCTGTGTATTCTAATGGATATATAAAGATCTTGAATAGTAAAAGCAGTCAGACCTGACTGAGATTGTGTTCTTTATGACAAACTGTTGCTCTTCCAGGTGAAACAGTACTGGCTAGGCCCAAACTACCAGCGGGAGGGCCCCACAGGAAATGACATCACACGCACCAACGTTCCAGACATTCGTGTTGCATACCGTTATGAGACACTGGTCGATGAGCTTTCTACCATCTTCCGGACAATGCAGCCTACGCCCTAAAAGAACGGCACATAATTTGTTTGTTGGTTCATGTTGTATACTTAGAGTTTTTAAAAAAGTCACTTTGAATAGAGTCCATTGATGTGCCAATGACTGCGGCTACTAGGTTTGTATTGAAAGTGCAGTGATTTGTCTCTCGGTAGGTGACCATATCGAGATTTCGCCTTGCAAATCTACTAGCGCTATTAAGCATGAATGTTAAAGGAAGCAAAGGGTGTTAGGATAGCCTTCAAGAAGTGCTTATGTGTTCTTTTATTGTATCCTTAACTGCTTAAGTTATTGCCACCATTAAAGGACTTTCTTTACGAAACTGTGTTGCAGCAGCTTTCTTATGCATGATTTTGCATGTTCTTTACAAGGTGCTCAACAGACGAAGCTTTTATTTTTCTTTGGTTGACTTGTGATTCACAAATGTGGTCATGAAGGAAAGTGTTAACTTGAGGACTCCTTTCCTTTGTTAGGCATAATATTGTTGAAAATTAGCAGATAATAATGTTAGGTAAAGCACAGAGGATGATATTAGAAGTAATTGTTATGTAGGTTTGAAGAAAAAAAAGTGGACGAAAAGATTACTTGTCATTGGCAAGATCCGAACCTGTGACCTTTGAACAACGCGTCCGATGCATTGTTATTCGAATGTTGCAGTTTGGAATCCTGCCGATGGCAAGTTATCTTCTCGTCCACCTTTCTTTCTTCTAATTTACATTACAAAGACTTCTAAGAAAATCCCTTATGACTTCCCCGGAATTATTGTCTATTAGCCTTCATAAAATCTACTCATGACAATTATGGTTTATTTGCAACTTGAATGCCCCGCCACGGTGGTATAGTAAGGTACTCGGCTGCTGACCCGCAAATCGCGGGATCAAATCCAGGCTGTGGCGGCTGCATTTCCGATGGAGGCAGAAATGTTGTAGGTCCGTGTACTCAGATTTGGGTGCACATTAAAGAACCCCAGCTGGTCGAAATTTTTGGACCTCTCCACTACAGCCTCTCTCATAATTATATGGTGGTTTTGAGACGGTAAACCCCACTAATCAATCAACTATTTATGACATAAAAGGTGTCTGTACACATGCAGTATACGTAGTTCTTATTGGCTTTTTCTTCTTAAGATTCTTCAATATTATTTTGAGGCACTTTCAAATCCTGACAACATCCCTAGTCATATCATTCTGTTTATTAGAACTTGCTGTTGGACCAGTTGCTAACTCGCCGTATTGAAGCTATTTGTGGGGTGCGCTTGTGTGTCTGAATTTGTGCGTGAATGAGGGAAGGCCAAGTTTCTTCAATATTATTTTGTATCCTGGAAAGTTGACTTGCATAACCTTGCATACATTCACGATCTGATGATCTAGCAAAGGTCCTACTTTTTCTGTGTGTCTTGCTTGCCATCTTCTGTCGTATTGGGTTTTGGGCAAGTTTTATGGAATCGCACTACTTACTGAAGACGAGTTAGCTGTAGAAGCCTCAATGAGATTTGCTGTTTTTGCTCTTTGTTGAAACAAAATGTTTCTCTGAACAAATCTTTGCACTAGCACGATCTAATTCACTCAAAAACAGTGCTGTTTAGAATAGTTTTTTCATACACCTGAATTGATTCCTTCATCCATCATTTTATTGTGCGCTCTACCTTACTTTATCATCTGATTTAATTGCATTCCGATCGCAAGCAACTTGCAACTGTAATACAAACAAAATATTCATGGGAAAGGTGGAGTGTAAGTAATTAGAAGTCAGCGTAGTAATGTTTCAAAAAGTGAACTACTTCTTAGTAATCAACTATAAGAAATGTATGTGAATATGCCGTTGCATCTATAATTTACAAAGATTCCAGTTACGTTTTATTTGCAAGGGATTCTGGAGTAATATGTTGGGGCATGTTTAAGCTTGTTAACAGTGTGCTTGATAATTATAAGAAACAGTTCTGCAATTAGCTAGGATTCAAGAGTTTCGCCGATATGTAATTTAAAAATGCACTGCAATGAGGCGGCTGATCTTCCAATTATTCCTACTGTTTCTCAGCTTTAGGGTTTCTACTTAGCCATAAGTTATTTCTAATTGAAACTTACTGAAGGCAGAGCTTGTGGCATAGAATTTATTGTAGTTTTAAGAATGAAAAACTGATGTTTAATTCTACAAAGACAAAAAAGTCATTTTTTAGCTTCTCTATTGTCAACCAAGTTGTTTACAAGATAATTCAGGGTCACAGTACAAGTATATACAGGCTTTCGTTATTATAATAGTGGTTGTTAGACAACTGTCGTGAACAGTTCACTCATGCAATCTAATCCAAGGAAATAGCATGCATCAACACTTCATGGCGTGTGACATATGCAGTTTCAAAAAAATTTCACGGCATGGTTAAAGGTTTGCCCTTGGTAATTCAAAGCATCTGGACCTGCCGAAGCATTCTTACGTGATGTTTAATACTCCACACATGATCGCTAATCTTCCATAAAGGGATTGGGAGTATGTACATGCACTTCACCAAGCTCCACAACCGCAGCTTTGAACAGAAGGCACATGCAGTAAGAGCTCGTTGATTCAGATTTTACGGGACCGGATAAAAATAGCTGAATCAATCAAAGGCTGAATAATCGAAGGATTTTTTTTAAATGTCTATTCCATCAATGCACATTCATTTTCTTGAGGAATGTGCAAATTCAGTAAAACTTCGCATAGTAACAATCCAAGAGCCGCAATTTTTGTCATTTGTGACTTCGTTCACTATGTGAACGTAGCTCAAGATGCGCGTGTCATAATCCGAAACGTCGTCCGATTCATACCTCATCATGTACCAAAAGAAAAAAAAAGAATGAGATCTTCGATGGTGACCATGTCTTTCCGGAAGCTCACGGACGTTTCGGCTGTCCGCGAACGCCGTTTCCGCACCTCCGCGTCGCAAATTTCCGGCGCTTCGCGATCAGCGCGCTCGGTGTAACGTCCGAATTAACCCGTGCCCGGTGAAACGTGAGTGAATCAAGAGAGCCTAAGGCCGTTAAACGATGCATACGCTTGCCGGGACCAGAGAACACGTGCATGTTATCCGAGTGTGCGAACTAACGGGTGTCGAGTTGGCTAGCTTCGACTGTATTATAATGTCCTGTGAAGCGTTGAGTGGCAAAAGTGACCATATTGAAACACGCAAGCCCCGCCGCGGTGGTCTAGTGGCTAAGGTACTCGGCTACTGATCCGCAGGTCGCGGGTTCAAATCCCGGCTGCGGCGGCTGCATTTCCGATGGAGGCGGAAATGTTGTAGGCCCGTGTGCTCAGATTTGGGTGCACGTTAAAGAACCCCAGTTGGTCGAAATTTCTGGAGCCCTCCACTGCGGCGTCTCTCATAATCATATGGTGGTTTTGGGACGTTAAACCTCACAAATCAATCAATTGAAACACGCAAGGATGGAGCTCGAAATCGCATTCCATGTGAAAAAGAACATATTTTCTCTTACTTCCAGCGAATGTCGTCGTGCTGTTCGCAAGTTGTGCATAGGAGGCGGTTCTTATTCCTTTCGTAGTCTGCGTGCAATAAACTCTGGTAGAAGACATGGAGCAAAAGAGGCTCAATATGCTCAAATGTTAACGCGAATGCCTCGGATGCTCATAGAACGCGAAAATTGATCGTCGTCGTCAACACGTGTGACACAAATATGTTGACGTCAACATGACGTCACAGTTCGAAAAACTTGTGTCACTATGACATCACATGATGACGGCATCAAATTACGTCATAGTATGGTCAAAGGGTAGTCGACCACGGAGCCAGTTCTTAACCAGGCGAGGCGCAGAAAGCTTGTAATACCTCCATATCGGAGTCAATTCGTAACCACGATGATTATCAAAGCTTTAGTTGTAGTGGGATGGAAGATCAGTGCATCGACTAAAAATTAAGTGAACACGGTTTTCGCCTTCGAATCCTCTTAGGCATAAACAACCATGCGAGTGAGTTTTTTATTATTATTTAATCGCTTTGGATGTATTCGAGCCTGGTCAGGTGCTTTGCAACGCGAGCAACTGCGCGTCTCTCATCTATACACGTATTCTTGAGGGGGGTTCGAATGCTCACGCCTAAACTTGGTCACAAAAGGACGATGGCCCCGAGTATCCTGTGAAACTGTAGTGTTTCATCTCCTGTTAAGTCAAGATAATTGATTAAGAAAGTGATAACAAAAGTACACTTATCTTCAAGTCGGACAACAAACACCCATCACAGAAAAGCGAATGCAAATTATTGCGTAGTTAACTGATCTAATTATTTTTGAGCTTTTGCTGAGGGCTATATAGTTGTTATATAAAATGAGTTTTTTTTCTTTCTTGAGTTCGCAATGTGCCAGCGAAGGCTGTGACGAAAAGCTGGCTTTGTCGCAGTGTACATCTCTGTGAGGGAAAGGCCGCTTTTGGGTTTGAAAACTACTCGCTCATGGCCAGTTCAAGCGATTCTTCTGCTCATAACGTGTTTAACGCTACGTATTTACGACGGGTAACCTTGAAAATAGCTTTAAAGAAGCGTGGTAAAATTTTCTTCCCGTTAAAACTCCAGGGCCGAAATTGGTGTCACTTTTAGTTGCGATGGGACCCCCAATGGGGAGCTATGTACTCAGCGGAGCAGATTGACTTTGATGGAAAAAAAATGCATAAGCGTGGCGTCGTTTCTGTCTTTCTCTCTCGATGGAAGACACCTTCATAACACCGCGCAAGAGACGAGGGAATGCGAGTGATAGAGACGGCAGAAAAAAAGGTAAGAGAATGGTAGAGAAAAAAAAAGACGCATTCGATCTGCCTCTGACGTACGCGAGCGAGAACAACCGCGTACCAGACGCAGTCTACCGAGAAGACCGCCGAGAAAGCCGGGGCTGCAGTGATGTGCACGTTCTAACACGGGCAAGAGGAAGAAGGGAGCGTTCCTAACTCCCAAAGAGTGTCTGGTCGGCCCGGAGGAGGCGTCGCTTGAAAGGCCAAACAGAGGAGCCATGGATTCGAAGGAGAGCAGGGGCACAGCACAAAGATTGCGCTCGAGACAGCCAAGGGAGCATCGTCATACGAAGTCCCGAAATAAAGCTGGTCAAGATGTTTTGCGTGATCGTCAAGATCCGGCTCGGAAGCGGGCTCACTCGTCGTCGTGCTCCTGTGGACCGCAGCAGAAGCCGGCGTTTGCGCAGAGGCGCGTGGTGTGTGCACTTGGTGACGACGACAGAAGCTGACTGCGTTGTGGAAGAAGGCGAAGCCATCGTCGTGTTTGTGGGGACGACGGGCGCACTCGTTGTAGGACGAGGGGTGGCCTCCGAGGTCGTGCCGTCGGTACCGGCG